GTATGTAATTTGGCGAAACAATACACCACAATATTCTTGAACGCACTTTTCAAAATATATTATGTACATGTACCTATCTTGTGTGAGCATGATTGTATGACCGGCGGGGGGGAGGGGTTTAATCATACGATATTTAGTTGCCTACCCTGTCTCGAAAACCTGTGCACGCCACTGAGTACTTGCTTTTTTATTTATCTTTTGGTGTGTGCCATGTTGATTTATTACACAATGATTTGTAAAATGATTACTAGAAACTCTTACTAATAGATGATTTTTCCTAAAAATAAGATGACAGTTATCGATATTCCAACATTTTATGACACAAGTTAGTTGAAAGGCAATGATGTATAGTATACAAATCATAATATTAACATCGAAATTAGATAGTAGCAAGTAAAAACAAAAAAATACTACATACAATACCCAGTTACAGGGATACAGAGGATTAAATTATAATTAGTCGACCAAACAGACTCAGTCCTAAGTTACGACTGTATTCGTTGGTCAAATCGTAACTATAATATATTAGCTGAACTAGAGATCTTGGTTAGAAAACTCATGATCAAAAGATTATCAGGTTTTTAAAACTCTAGGTTCACAATAACAACTCTCAATAGTTTAGAACTCAGAATTAATTGAACTGATTTAAAACAGATGGAAAATTGGTTCAACTGATGTCTTAGGTATAGCAAAATAGACGAGATGTTACTCAACTATGAATATAGCTCATTAATTCGTAAATGTAATATTTTTGCCATTACAGGCCTTGTATTTTTTGTCAAGTTGTCACGACTGAGATTGACGACGGTTTGACATATAACGCTACATAATTCCACCCGAATCATGTTCCAGACTCCGATCTCTTGTCAATACTGTCAATCAATTTTGTTACTAGTTACGTACTTGTATCAAAGTTGATATTGGCATATTTTGAGTTACGTTAGATGCCTTAAAATATCAATTTCTTTACCGGCTGTGTTGAGTTTGCAAGTCTCGGGTACTGGCGAACTAATTGCCTTAAAGTTTAATCGAAGCACAAAAATTATAGCCATAATTTTGACAAAAAAAGAAAACAAAAAAATTTAATGGTTTTCGTTCTGTACTCTCTGCCTGCTTGTACATAAAAATGCTTAAGTTAGAACCTAGACGTCTTAAGTCTTCGGAGTAGCGGAGAACCTAACGGGCTACCGGGGCTCCGGCTCGACGTGCAGGAGAAGGAACGGGGTGGTTTTTAGTCAGTAAGAGTCTGACACTCCTTCCCGCCTCACCCAGGCGGGAGAAGTCATTCGATGATTTACCCCTTTAAAAAAAAATAAAGACGTTAGTAGACTTAAGTCTACTGAAATAAGTCTGTCTACCTATGTTCCTAAGCCAATATTTAATCGAGTAATTATTTTCTAATACTTCTGTACCGAACTCGACCTACTTTATCAAAAAAACATTTTGTTTTTCAAAGGTTATTCTTAGAATCCAATACTAACAACTTTTACTGGTTCGATTAAATTAGTTCTTTGATTAGATTACAAATATAACGTATGTTTTACATGGTAGCCAGGCTTGGTGCTTGTTGAATACATATAATTTTGATAAAAGATATAATCGTGACCTTGACAATTTATTAATTAAGGTGTAAAAAGTAAGTAGCTTGTTGGGATTATTGGAAGTGGATACGATTGCTGATTACATTTATTATAGAAAAGAAAATGGACCATATGCACATATAGTGCAGTCGGTTGATATTTTTCCTTTGTTAGAATGTTACAAATATAAAAAAGTGCATACTCATCCAACCGAGACGAAAATTGCCAATTCATGTAGGGATCAAAATAACAGTCGAACGCACTTTTGTCTTTAGATAATATTTGCACAATTTTTCACTTATTTGTCACAAACTCACAGATTTGCACATCCAGTTCCTTTGTGTCTCCGTCCACTTTTTAAACAATATACATATGTACCGTGCACAACAACGAACATTCCCAACCAACTGACTGATTAAGGACGTTTTGTAAGACTTTGAAATTGTTTCACTTTCAAACAAAAATGTTTCATAACAACATTCAGTTAAAAGTGAGTTTTCCTCGAACATTCGCTTCCGCCTGAAACGTAGGTGATTCCAAACTTGTTTAGCCGAAACAGATAGCATTTAATTAACATCAACTAGAATTCGTTAATTCAATAGACTTGGTACCTGTACATATACATTCCAAAGTAGTGCATTATTAATACCAACATTCGTAATCATTTGTACATGTATGTTGGCATTAAAATGAATCAAAATTTTAACAAAAATATTAATTAGTAAGTAATTAATCTGATATTTTAAACAATAGGCATTGTATTTAGTTCAGTTTCAGATCCAATCCAGTTTATTGTATGCTATTAATCGCACGAATAAGTAGGTTATCAGAATCATCGGTAATAATCGACTGAATAATCTTTCAATTTTAGGTATTAAATGCTCATGTTTTGTAGCTAGCGTAATATACATAGTTAGTAAATAAATTATTTAGAAGCAACATTGAAATCATAAATACATAGTTATATTAAATTCTTTTGAGCAGCGTTGATATTAGCACACTATAAACCGGGAACACTTGGATGCATGCCACTAGTAGGTAATGGGAAACACATACGGCAGCTTCAGTAGTCGATCTATGCGTTTGCTTACGTTTTCGAGCACCTAGCGGAATTGACCTCCGCTCTATAATGAGTAGTAATTGTTCACGTAATGATCGCGTAACTACCGCAAGAACGCGTGCCGACCACCGAGCGAGATTCTCAACTGTTTTATTTTAAAGCTGGCGGCGCACTTTGGCCGTGAAAAATATTGCAAAGGTGTAGCAGCTCAGTATAATACTGATGAGCAATAGACAATGTCGTTCATTGACTGCGAACAAGAGCTGTCTCGCACTTTATTAATTGCTAAAGCTGTTTCTTTTTTCGAATATCGAAGCATGAAATCGTATGACACGGTATCCCAATTTGAGGCCATCGGAAAATGTAACAATTCACTTTTATTTAAAATATTCATGCATTCTAAATGATAAAATTTAAATGTGAGTGCACGATTTATCTTCTCTAAGGTTTTAAGATTGTTATCTAAAGCTGCAGTGAACAAGAAAATACTATCTACAGTTAATTATTATGCATGGAGCTGCTATGTTTGTTCGCTCAATTAATAAAGTTGCGTATGTGTTCTCTATCACGTAGATCACGAGTTTAATGACATAAGGAAAGATATGAAAGATTATAAATATATATTTGCGATTCATCGCAACGTGTGCCAATGTAAAAATTAAATGACTTCATACGGTTATGCACGTGGTCGACGTTTTTGGTAGTTCGGACCTTGAACTAATTTTAACAAAAAAGGTATTCAGTGTTGTTCAAAGGTCATAAAATCGTCAAATAGATATACATCTGGTAAAATCAGAATAACAACTAAACAACTATAATAAGCAACATACATAGTCAGTGTAGGTTTGACATACATAGGGCATTTATTTCGTTATCAATTTTTATCAACAATAGATTTTGGTTCTTAATGATACAATTATCTTTTTTAGTGTAATGACTGTATCTTGTAAATAATGAAGAAAATTGATAAAAAATTTCTAACGTAAGGACCTTACATTTATAGGATTGCAGGGAAAAAATGTAAGCAACCTGTATTTGTTACAACATAGTTTTAACGTTATCGTAACCCTATTGGTATCAGCGAGTGCGTCGGCCAATTGCTGTAATCGAATCAATTTGGTCTGAAACGAAGCCCACCGGGCAACCGCGCCGGTCGGTACCCTCCCGCAGTTCCACGTTCATTGTGTATTTACAATAATGCATCGCATTCAGTTCAGAAAGTTATCTCCCTGTTTGACTAAGCACTTTGTTTCGAATTTGCAAACAGACTGCTATCTTATCGGCTCATATTAGTAGAAGTTGTACGGCGGGTACACGCGTCGGTGACTGTTTCCTAAAACTGTGATGTGAGCTCTCATCTGTGTTAGTGATTATACTCTGTGATTTTTTGTTTAGATCGTATTGAAGATATTGTTTAGTAACAATGAATGAAGGCACCGTTGATATCCAAAGTGAATTGGAGAAATTAAGGTTTCCTCTTTATTTTATTTGTTGTATATTTTAAATTTATTTGATATTTCTGTTGTGTTCTGTAAATTTTTATTATAAAATATACTTACGTACGTTATGGTTTATGCCATTTAACATTAGTAAAGTATTGTTTATAGCTACTTTAACGTGAAAACGTGGTTAAAATAGCCTTTACTATAAAAAGTAGTACCATTTAACTGTCCACTTGTATCATTTATGAAGGTTTTTATTGTTTTACTGGTAACACACAGGCGCTACTCTGTGTCTATCAACAGTAGTTACATTAATATGTATTATACGTAGCTCTCATTAAACAATAAGTGGGACTAATAGAAAGTGTTACAAATGTTGCTTAGTATTCAATGCATGTGATGGAATCATTTCTCTTTGTACAGACGTCCGTCGTACAGGCCACCTCCAGACAATGAAGAGATTAAAGAAACGAAGACTGCACCAAGTCAGGAGACTGATGATCCACAGAAGTACCGGCTGATACTAGAGCCAGCCCTCGTGGGCGCTATGATTGCGATCAATCTAGGTCAGACCTCGCTACAGAACTTTTATTTGCAAACTGCCTGTACAGTCGACCTAGGGGTGGATTTAGAAGTTTGTTTAAAAGGAGATATGGAGGTAACTGACTTATACCTATCTACTTTTATTTACAGTTTTATCAATGTGAATGTAATTCGCTTTTACATGCACCTGCATGGAGGATATTTTTATGATACTCGGTACTTGCTATTATCAATGAGTAATCATTAAATCTGATGGTTATCTGTTTGTCGATAATTCACCCCCTATTGCATAAGACTAAAAGATAAGTTGTGAAAATAAACGTGGGGAAATTGCACTTTACAATATAATGTTACGATGCTAATTTAAACTGGTAAAATAATCCAAGCTACTGACTTCATATGAAGGACATATTGACCAAAACGGTTCTATAATTATAAATTAATCAACACTATACTTTTTAATATATCGATATCTGATTACAATTTGATACTAAGACTAGGGCAGCATTTATAGACGCGACCGTGAATTTTATCGGACCTTAGATAAACTGAGCCTATCTCGTATTTTGACAAATGTCAATAACACACATCTGTAGGAAACTATCGATATATTACAGACTATTTGCTTTGTGTACCTACAAATATATAGGCATTGAAAATTGTGCTTTGTCAAGGATTAGAAGCCGCATATGATACTCATATGACCTTGGAGAGGTTGTCTGAAGTGCTGTCCTTATGACACGTATTTTGAAAGATGTACTTTCAATATTGTGAATTGTAATCTTATATGTATTTTACCTTTATGAGCGGAAATGTACTGTATCCTAGACGAATAGTTGAGAGAGATCTTAAAAAGTAGTACGTTTAAAACAACTACCGCCACTGAGATACTTTTTTTTTTAACTCGTCGAGTACCGGTTTTGTAGACACAATTATAGAACAATAGGTTGCGGTCACCGGTGACCGCTTGGTGTTTGACAGTTTAAATCAAAAAAACTACAAATCAGAATAGTATTTTAATCAACTTAATAAAAGCAAACACAGCATTACTAGAGGGCAAACATTTACCCTCTTATTAATAAACATAGAATAGAGTAAGAATAACTTTACTCCGTGGTATAAACTCAGAATAGTCAAATTCGGTATTAATAAACAAGGAGTAACGTCGGAGTAAGCTATTCCAACGTTAGTCTGAGAATAAAAGTTAGTCCATGGTGCCACATGGTTTAGCGACGGTGTAAGCTTGGATTAGTGTCATTTTGACATTTTGTTGATAGATATTTTTTTCTTCTTTATTGACAACCGAGTTTCCATCGAGTTTCCAATATGGTTTTGATGACCAGTATCGAGTGGTGTACGGCATTTTCAGATAAAACCTATTTTATTATAACCTATTTCCTTGCGTTGCGGCATTACTAAGTATATAGGTACGAGACTAGCTATACCCCACGACTTCGTCCGCGTATTATAATGCCTTCTGGCAGAATGTGGATTTTTGAATAAGTCTTTTCCGAGGTTAATTCTAATGCTTTTTAACAATTATTATCAAAATCGATTCAGTACTTGTTATATTTATTGTAAAATGAATTCTTTTTTTCAAAAAATAAGCATTCGCACATGGGTTTTATCCGTCATTCCAGTGAGTTATCAGTGATAAAAATTATTTAATGTCCTTTACCGGGTTGCAAACCACTGTTGTACCGAATTTCAATAAAATAGGTTCAATGATTTAAAAGATAGAGTTCCGGAATATTAACACATAGGACCTTTGCCGTGGAATTTCCGGGACAGAACTATTATCTTTCTTATTTATAATATTAGTGTAGATTATAAGTTACTAGCTATTGTCCACTGTTTCGCTCGTGCTCATTTATGGAGTTAGGGGAAGATTTGTATAAATATGAAGCCACTAAGTTTTTTGTTAGTTACAAATAGTCAAAATACCAATTTTAATCTTTCTAACTTGAAAATTGTGAAACGCTTTGTATAAACCCACCATTTTAGGGAAGCGGGGGGCTAGAAAGAGATAGAAAGTAGCCCATCTCACTTTCTATCCCTTCAAGTACCTATCTCAACTTAAAAACACGTCAATTCGCTTTGTTTTGTCACGAAAGACGGACAAACAAACAGACACACACACTTTCTCATTAGTATGGATTCGATTTTTATGTAAAAACGCAACAACTTTTTTACACAAAAAGTTATACTATCATTATAAAACGTGGTAAAATGTATAGATATTATTTTTATTCAATATCTGAGTTATTGAGAGAATTAGAGTTGATGAGATTAGAGATGATTACAGAAGTGTGTATGACTAGCTTTTCTGCCAGCGGCTTCGCCCGCGTTCCCGTGGAATAAAAAGCCTTCGTATTATTTTAGAGTTCCAGACCATAATAGACCCCTGTATCAATTTTCATCTCGATCCCTTCAACCGTTTTGATGTGAAGAAGTCACAAACATACAAACTTTCGTATTTATAAAATATTAGTAAGATAGAGGAACGTGAAGAAGAAGAGAAATCAAAATACCGATTTACTGCAGTTTTTATTATTGACATGGTAAAAATAATCTAGCTGGTGACGCCAGAGGTGGCTTTATACCACCC